GGAGGTGCTACTTCACAGTCAGGGTGGTTAGGGTCTGGAACCAACTTCCAAGAGAGGTGGTGCAGGCTCCCACCCTGGGGGTTTTTAAGAGGAGGTTAGATGAACACCTTGCTGGGGTTGTTTGACCCCAGTACTCTTTCCTGCCGTGGCAGGGGGTTCGACTAGATGATCTGCTCAGGTCCCTTCCGACCCTAGAAACTATGAAACTATTTTTAAAAGGAACTGGCAAGTAATGCTTATTTGCTAGGGAGTCTAATCTTGTCAGTATGTGCTGGCTGTGCACTAAGAGTACCTGTCAGATTGTGGACATTCTCACACAATGGGACTTAGAGGGAGAAATGCTTAGGGTCATGTCTTTTTCTGCCTTTTAGGCACCTAAGATTTGATTCTTTTCTACCCTGCTTGGATCCTTGAAAATTCACTGACAGTCTTAGGGCCAAGATCTATTTTTTCTAATAGACCTAGGCTGTTCTAAGTCACAAAAAGCAAGGTGGAGGAGGAGGGCTAACACACCTTGTATAAACAGTTTTCAAGGACTTGAACAGGCTACAGGAGACTTGCACTCAGGTAGAATAGGATGTCGGTCCTGATCAAGCCTAGAGGTGAGCAAGGCTCCAAGCTGTTCACCTGTGTCAAGATTATGGTAGTTCTGGGCGAACACTCGGAGGTGTGGCACTCTCTAGGTACCTGGAGAAGTGTAGAGTGGAGTCCAGTTCCTGCCTGTCCCTGGAAGTGCCAAAGCAAGGCACTGTTTCAGGATGACAGTCTTTAACCAGGATACCCAAGACCTTTGGATCTGACCCTGGGTGCTGCGGCAGTTCTGCTTATCTCATGCCAGGAAGCTGACTTCTAATCTTGGGATTCTGTCGCAGTATCTTCAGGAAAGCAAAATGACACATCCTTTGTCCTCTCCATCCTACTCCCACCCATGTTTTGCAGCCTAGGCTCTTAGGAAGAAGAGGTGAAAGTATGTCTGTCTTTCCTTTAACACAGTGACCCTATTAGATGGAAGATTGCGTTTTCAGTGCTGGCTCATACTTCTGTCCCTTATGCCATCATATCTGATATTTCACTATCAGATAAGAAGTGGAAACTATGTCAGAGTACAACTTCACATTAATCTATTAAGTATGTATAAATGACTGTACTAAGAATGGTATCTTATTTACATTTTAAAAAGGAAACAGACTCTATCACTTCTTTCCTGGTGAAGTGACTTATTTCCAGGAGTCAGAGTGTACCCTAGATACAACTATCTTCCCAGCCAGTAGGGTAAAGGAATGGTATATTGTGTAGCACACACGGGAGAAAATGAAGCATCTCCTCAACTGCCTCCTTTGTCCTTACCTGCAGTGTTGTGAAGTCTAGCGCATAGGTTACTGTTTCATTGGTTCTCTTGGCCTTTTTCTTATTCAGTCTGTCACCTGTAGTGCAGCAGAATATTATGACAGCATATTACCTTAATTCTGGTGAAGTGAGATTATATTTCAGCCCAACTGAAACAGAGGTGCAGCAGTTTGACCTGTTCAGTGAGGTTACATTGTTCAGACGTACCAAGTACCACCAAGCGCCTCTTGTATCCTCAAGGCAAATAGGTAAAGAGGGTCTGTGGCCCATGTTAACTCTCCTCCTTTTCTTTTGCAGGTCTCCAACAGTTATTGAAACAAGGATCGGTGCAGAAGGTGTACAATGGACTGCAGGGATATTAACATGGGGACAAACTGGACTTGATTGAAAATGAAAAATGAAACCAGTGATATTTATCTGCAGTCTTTCTTGCTGCCTATTGTGGAAAGAAGAGGAGTGGGGAGGGTAGAGTAAACAAGTCGTATTTTTTTGTAAATGGTGAAAGTGCTCAGATGGTTTATGGCAAACATGGCCCTTTGCAGGATATAACTGGTGCTGCCTATAGAGTTCCTTCCATGTACTGGAGCAGAGAGGAGGCTCCCTGTGCAGAAAAATGTTGGGGAGGGGGGTTTAAATTTAGTGCATATTGGAAGTTCTGGTTTTTAAATATATTTTGATGTTACTTTTTTGACCCTCTCAAAGTATCTTTGTAGTTTCTTCTGCCTCTTGTGTCCCTCATGCTAATCTTTCCTGACTACTTAGTCTCTCTTCTACCGACCTCTCTCTCCCTATCCCTGCTGGGCCTAGTTGGTTATATTATGGGGCAGGAGCTCATTTATTCTTAGAAATTAAGTGAATGAGAGCCTGTAAGAGCTACAGGTGACTGCTGTTGCTGCAAAGACCTTTGCCCTGTATATCGATCCTATCCTAATTCTCAGATAATTTTAAGCTCTCAGTATTCACACTTTCTTCAAATGCTGTAAAGACCAAACTTGATTTCAAACTGGGAATGAGCCATCTTCACCCATCCTCTGCTGTACATGACCCTGCAAAATGGCTCAACAGACTCCTCCTGTGACCAGTATGGAAACATTTGCTCACGACCTTATAGAATCAGTGAGTCGGCAGGGACCTAGACAGATCATTGAGTCTGACCCCCTGCCGTGGATAGGAATGACACTGGGGGTGGGAGGGGCCATAAGACCCCAGCCAGGTGCCTGTCCAGTCTCCTCTTGAA